GGCGTTATGACTAGACAGTACTTTTCTCCCAGTTATAACATGAAGAGGACAAAGGTGCAAATATAAAGAGATGGCAGTAAGTTAAAATGATTAATAAGTAACCTACAGCAATTGTAGACCCTAAGGCAAAAAATCTTGTGTATTAGAAAATGTATTTAATCAAATGCAGAGGGAGCCAAATAGACCTTGATAACAAGGATATTTCTAGAAACATTACCATAAATCAATGGCCAATGAGAAGAATAATGAAAATCAAGATGACACAATAATGAAACAAGGTGAGGAAGGGATTAGATTTTGCTTTAGCTTCCCTTTTTTAGAAGAGATTAACAATTCCTGGGGTCAGCAACTAACACAATATTTATTTTAAATGAACTCAATGATTTATATATGCTTAAATTAACAGTTCAGTAAATCCATGTGTAGATCACCCACTGTGTTATGGTATTCTCAAACAATTTGTTTTCAAAGCCACACACACACACTTCCATTGAATTTTATCTTTTTTTAAGGTGCACACAGAGAGGAAAGGGCAGAGCCAACCACCCATGTGCTTATGTAGGGAGGAAGGCCACCACTTCTACGGAATACTTTTTATGCAACTGTCATCTGATTAGGGACAATCCTGATTTTGAACTGCATGATAATGTAGTTTAATATTCTGTTCTATTTTGAAAAATATGTTTGGAACTTAGGATTGCAAAAGTTTATATGGTAAAATAAAGACCTTCATTTTGGTATATTCCCACTTAGGAACACATTTCTAAGGAATATGTACATTTATAAGAGATTAACATTTATCACAAAATGTATTGTTGTTGTTATTGTTGTGTGCTATCGAGTCAATTCTGCCCCATAGGGTTTCCTAGGCTGTCATCTTTACGGGAGCAGATCACCAGGTCTCTTCTCCCAGGGAGCAGCTCATGTGTTCAAACTGCTGACCTTTCGGTTAGCAGCCACACTTAACCATTGTGCCACCAGGGCTTCTACTACAAAATGTTGCTGTTGTGATGGCCCAGTCCTGCACCATCCTCACAATCGTTGCTATGTTTGAGCCCACTGTTGCAGCCACTGTGTCAATCCATCTCACAGAGGGTTTACGATTTTTGGCTGTAGGCAACTACATTTGGTTACAGAGAAATCCAACCAGTACATTTCCTGAGACTTAAATCAGAGGCGTTAAAGAAAGATATCCCCTTGCAAGGCAGAATCATCCTAGCTGAGAACAAGGATGACTGATACTCTTGCACTGTTTTGGTTACAGATGCTTAAATATCTAAACAGATGTGTGTTGCAAATAATTACTATCAATACCAAAAGTCCCAGTCATTTTTTAAACAAAACAATTCACTATGAATAATTTAGTGAAGTAGTAAAACAACATGGTACTTTACAGTTAGTAATTTTTTTGCAGAAAATTGGTATGGTACTAATTTAAATCTTGAAATGTCTTATTACAACTCAAATTTGCACATTTAAAACTTCAAGAAATGCAACTTATCTAGAAGTCATATTTTCTACACCCTCAATTATATTAGAACCTAGCAATGATAGAGAAATTGTATTTTAGGATTGTCATCCCATATTCCAAGAATGTCACTTGATGGAATACATGTTGAGATAAACTCAGGTCACGTTTAACTTAGAACTGCTAATTAAATTAAGAATGTTAGTTTACTAAGCTTGGGCCAGAAAATAATAAGAGAGGTATGATATTGCTAGAAACTGAAAGCAACTGATGCTGAGACTTAATAGATTCAGCAATTTTAAAAGCATTTCAGTAACTATAAGTGGCATTATAGTATTATAACACGGTACATTATGCTCTTAATGAAGAGCTGAATCATAAAAAAAATTGTGTTTAGTGTACTGTTCAGAAGGCTGGAGATATATATTACATTTTAGAAAAATTTCTAACCAAAAAAATGGTGAAAGGAAAGTGCTTAAAAGGAGTTAACTAATTATCAGAAAGGACAGCAACTCAAGAACTCTTAAACCTACATAACGGGGCAGAATTCTCACCTCTTTCTAACTTACTTTTTACTTCATGTAATAAAGAGTTTAATAATACATTTCTATTATCTAAAGAGACTTCTTCCATCTAGATAGTAGAAATCTGTGAACTTTGATGTTTTTACTAGTCTTTCATGGATAAACTAAAAAAAAAAAAACCAAACCCGTTGCTGTAGTCGATTCCAGCTAAAGTACTTTAAAACTCAAAGCATCCAAGAGACTCCTGTATTCTCAGAGATTAAATTATATTCAGTACAATTTTTGGTAAAATGTACTTATTTTAAGTGTCTGGGAACTGTTAATACATATATGGCATGTATACATAGTAATTCTCTAATAGGAAGGACATTTTATTAAGACATAAAGACCTTTTCCTCAATCATTATGGTTAACAAGTTTAATATATGTTTTTAGGACTGCAATAGTTTGAGAATGTCCAAGCATATATTACTTTTAGAAATGATGAGAAAACCAAGGGTCCCTGTATTTATTAAACTGAACCACCTGGCAGTAAAATTCAGTTAAGGCTCTTGGCATTGGTGAAACTTCTTCCCACTCGGACCTGCTGCTGTGGTAGACCTGCACTTCATCTGTGATTTCATCTGGTGCATAATCACCACCTAATATATAAATTTTATCTTCAATTCCAATTGCACCTGCATTAAACCCTGCACATTCAAAAGATCCTTCACCCTTCCAAACACAAGTATCTGGACAAAAACTATACACCTTATAGGTGGAAAGGTCACATATATACAGTGTGTAATTTACTGGGACTGCTTTAATTAGTGTTGCATGAAAAAACTGCCCAAACTCTGCTACTAGTTCAGACCACTGATCAGTTGTAGCATTGTATTTAAAAAAGCAATCAAGAGATGGGTTAAAGGCATCAGTAATCTCTACCTCTGATCCAAGAACATAAATTACATTTTGGCATGCACTTGCTTCCGGATAGTATATGCCTCTGGGCAGTGGGCTAACAGACACCCATTCTTTGGAAAGAGGATTGTAAGATTCAACATCTAAGAGGCTTCTAATGTCCTGAGATCCTCTAGTCTTTCCACCTATGACAAATAATCTATTGAGAGCCATAACTGATGTATGCATGGTTCTTGGTGTCTTCATAGTTGATGCCAAGAAGAAATCATTTTTGACTGGACAATAGCACCAGGTTTGATCAGTGGCATCATGGTATGACTCAGCAATATGAAGTCGAACCGTTCTACAACACTTCCCTTTGCAACCACCTGTCAAGAATATTTTCTCTCCATAACTAGACAGGCTAGATCCTGGCAAATCAATCAGGTGTGATTGTGGCAGTATTTTCCACGAATCAGTTTTAATATTATAGCAAAATGTATATTGATTTTCTCCATTTTCCTCAGTTTTGTGAACAAATATATATTTTTCAGTTGTGGATGGTCGAGCATCAGGGAAAAGTCCACCAGAACCTTGCACACACTTAATTGCATCTATGATTATATCAAAGCAGTTTGTACTTTTGAGTAAACACTCTTCATTAAGCAAACAGTCTTGGAGTGTCTCCTCAGATAACTGATGTAATCTCACTTTTTTAATCAAGTGAGGCAGATGCTTTTGCCTTGACTCTAAATTATGTTTAGTCCAGGTAAGGACCACTTTCAGTACAGTTTCTTCTTCAGGAACATTTAATTCATCCGATTCCAGACATTTTTGTAGTACTCCAAAATTCATCTCTAAAAAATCACTGGATTTAAACAATAAAGAAAAGTGATGTTGTACAAAGTATAATGCATGATCAAACAAACGGGTAGAGCCATAGCTATCTGACATTGATAATAACTGTAAACAATTGACAAGATCAATACTCTTTATTAAAAAGTCACTGCAAGCTTTGGATAGGAAGGGAACTTGAAGAAACGATGACAACTGAAAGAACATTTCTACATTATCATCTGTTATTTTTGTCTTCCCAGTATAGGCATA